CACATACCTTTGTGAAGGGGAACGGACAAAGCAGGGATGAAAGGGACAAGTTTGATCAATGGAGAAAGACCCAGGTTGAAATACAGGAGGCGGCAGAAGTCATACAGACCATTTCCTGGTGATTCTGAGAAGTTTGCAGTGGTAGAGGCACTCAGGATGCTGGGATGCCAGGTGTTAAGGCATTGGGGATACTGGATGTCAGGGGTGTTGTGTGCTGGGATGGTGGACGTTAGGGATGCAGGAGACACTGGGAGGATGGGGATGTTGAAAATTAGGAAAGGGATGCTGAGATCCTACTGGGAGGTTGGGATGTTGGCGTTGGAAGAAGTTTGGGTTTCTGGGTAGCAAGGATGTTGGTTTGCTAGGATGTTGTAATGCTTCACTCTGTTTGCAAGTGGGGTACAGAGCCCCACAATGCCCCACGAGGAACGCATCTGCCCAGAGAGGCAATGTCCTCTCTGTTCTGGGCTTGTTCCTTGGGAAAGGTGAGGATGAAGGATAAATGGGCATCCTCTCCTGCTCTGTGCTCCCCTTGCACTTCCAAAAGTCATCAGGTCCTCCTCCTGGTGAGGGACTAAGCAGTATAGGCTTGGTCTGGGGGAGGGGCAGGCTTTCTGCACTGATTCTCTGCCCACCGCCCAGAGCCTGGCCCTAGCTGTGTGAGGAGAGAGAGATTGTACCTCTGCTTCCTGGGCCAGAAGAAGGTAGTATGCACACTCTCATAGTCACACCTGTGAACACCACATACATTCACATACTTGTGTTCATACTCATTACGTGATCAGCATTCGTATACATACACAATTCATACATCTACAGCCACAAACATCAACACAATCACATTCATACATATGTATAGCTCAAAGTCATATCCCCACACTCTCACACACGCACCTTTGATTCACACACACACACACACACACACACACGTGTACTCAACACACTCACTGACCTGCTAAGCAACCCCTCCATGTCCACCATTTGGTGCAGGGCATGGATCCTGCCTCCACATCTCCAGATGGACTCTGATCAGACTGCCCCTACCCACGGCCATCCAGCCCAACGTGCCACCCACACTCCATATTAGAATTCTCGTGCTATCATCAAAACAGACTCAGTGGTTCTCCATGTGAATCCACTGCCATGAAAAGCTGACTGCAGTGTAAACCGAGGACACACTCACCACTCTGTAGCCCACAGCTGTTTCTTCCTAGTGTGGAGGATGCAGACCAGCAGCCGACTGACCTCCTCTAGGGGACATCTAGCCAGTGATAGGCTCTAGCCACCAGCAGTGATGTGTGTAGGAGGTGGTGAGCTAGATAAACCTTAGGCAGTTCAGATGGGCTGTAATCAGGAGGAAGAGTCAATGCTTTAGATCAGGGTACCATCTTTGTGTCACCCTGATGGAGACAATTGTTGGTGTAAATCCTCCCTCTCCAACTTTGGAAACCCCTTAGGTGATGGTGAGAGTGGTCAGTGTTCCTCCAGCCCTTTCTTAACAATACTTTGGGTGTCCATCTTCTGGAGTTTTTTCCACCAGTTGGCATGAGCAGAGAAGTCTTTGTGTCTGTTTTCTTAAACATATTGAAACCTCACAAAATACTGATCCTTCAAGGAGTCAGGGAGCCATAACCACGTAGGATAGACATGCAGAGACTCCTGGGGCTCAGTCTTTGTAACAGGTGCTTAAAGCGCAGTGCCTTGAGACACTGCCATAGTCTGTGGGCCCCCATGCTGATGAAGTACTGCCCAAGGTGAGTTAGTATTGAGGACATCCAGTTGTGTACAGAAAGGGTGGGAATGTCCCCTTGGTGGAAGAAAACTACATTTCGAATCAGAAAGGCTGGTGACTGTCTTCCTGTTAGATACTGAGCTCAGCACTACCTGGAAGGGTCTTAAGGACTTCCTGCTGTGAGTGGGTGCCAGTGGCACCTAGACATCTGAGAGTCAGAAAGGAGTATGAAGAACAACTTGAATAAAAGCTAGCAAACCCCAATCTCAGGTGGCCTTGCCTCAGAAGAGCCTGGCACCAGGATCTCTGCAGTCAGCCAGGAGACAAGGCTGTCTTCAGCACTCCACAGACAAGGGACACTGGGTGGCATCTGCTAGAAGGGGAAGTAAGTTTCAGAGATGACATAATGAACCCCACAGTATCACACTCTTGGAGTTGGGGACCTGAGTGGCCTTGGCAAAATGAAACACATCTAGCAAGAAAAAAAAATTATTTTGTGTCACATTCTTCATATTTATAGCTACTACGTAACCAGAAAAACTGACTTTTAATATTTAATGTGTTTGGATTTGGGAACGGACAGCTCACTACATAACGTTTGAGCGATGTTTCCTTGGTGGAAGTAAATATCTTTATATTTACTGCTGTATACACACTACCGAATCTTTACAAATAAGCAAAGACCCACATCAGGGTCGTCTTTGGAGACTTAAGGCTGCTACTTCCAAGGTGGAATACTGCCCTGGGACCCTTGAAAAACATAGATGACATTTACGTTTCAGAATTATATCAGGCATACTCAATTTTATTATACACCCCCACACAGATGGTTAGGATTTCCCACCTCATGAAAGTGCAAACGAGGCCCATATTCAAGAAAACCCACACTGCAGAATTGAATTCCAATATCCTCTCAGGTTGGCCATACAAAAGATAAAACTCCCACAATACAGGGCAGTAGCAGGAGTCATGACCTACCTACCCCTCAGTAAACCCTATGTATGTGCCCTCCACTCTTTAGGAGCCAACAGACTCTTACCCTAGGTACCCTCAAGTTCTGGAAAGTAAGGCAGTATCTCAAAACTTCCAAGCGCAAAACTCCTGTGGTAGACATCTCACCCCTTGACCCCTGTAACCTGCCCAGGGCCCAGGGCGAGCCCCAGTTCCATTGCACCTCCTTCCAGGTGGAGTTCCTTACTGGAGCTCAGGGGCTTTGTGTTTGTTTACTTTGGTTCCATCATGGAAAAGAAATGAACATAAACCAAGACATCCTTGGCTAAAAGGCCTGGCGAGCATGTGCTACCTGTGTCCAGCACCAAGCCAGGGATGGAACTTCATCAATTCCTGATTGACGGTAGGTCTAAACATAATACCCCAGCCTCTCAGTGAGAAACCTCCATGGCTCTCCAGCATTCTCACACAACACACACACACACACACACACACACTCCCCAGATGCTCACTGTTCCACATTGCCACGACAGATTGCTGCCTGAAGGTTCATTCTTTACTGCTGAGCCACAGCCCCTTGTGTGACTGACCATCTTTTTTGAGATCTTTGTTGGCTATCTGGGTCATTGAGCCTTGGGCTATCGTGAACAAAGCAGCCATGAACTCCCCCTCTCTCTTTCGCCCCTCCCTCTCTCTCCTTTTCCCCTCCCCTTTCTGTCCCTCTCCCTCCCTCCCTCCCTCCCTCCCTCCCTCCCTCCCTCCCTCCCTTCCCAGGACTTCAAAGGGTAGACTCATTCAAGAGGAGAATTTCTGGGTCATGAGTCAAGTATAGGCCTCAGTTTACTTAGAGCTTCTAGTTTCTCGGCGATTGTCACTTTATCCCCACCAGCTGTGTGGCACATGCAGCTGCTTGTCCCCACCAGGCTGGCTATCATCATGCTTCTTGATTTTAGCTGCACTAATGGGTTTGAATGTGGGAGGCATTTGCGTTGTTTCTCTGATTACCAACAACGTCAGCACTCACTCCCTGCTCACTGGGTTGTCAAGTAGCTCACGTTGTCAAGTGCCTCTCCAAGTCTTTGGCATCTTCTAAACTTGTCTGTGATTTATCCATTGGACTCTTATACAATCTAGACACGGGTCTTGTATCAGATTTTATTATGAATGTTTTCTTCTAACCTGTAGTCTACCTTTTCATTTTCCTAACAGCTTCTTTCAAAAGATCAGAAGACTCTACTTCTGAGGAAAGGTTTGTCTGTTTCTCCCTCTGGTTTTTTCTTTGCGCCCGCTAAGGTCTCACGGGCTCATGCTGACTCATAGCCCCAGCAGGTGGCGCTATGTCGAGCGGTTCCTTATTCTTTAGGAGGTGGTGCCTGGCTAGAGGAAGTAGGTCACTGGGGGCGTGGCCTTGGGGGACTGCGGGGGTTGTTTTTTTTTTCCTTGCTTAACTCTTGTATACACATGTGTCTTCTGCATTCCGTTCTAAACGCTTGTTTAGGTTCCTAGAGTCAGCTTTGTCTTTGCCTATGCGCCTGCTAACCTGCTGCCCACTTGCTGCCCCAGAGGTCTCCAGCGCTGCCCACTGACCATTGCTTCTCAGCTGATGAAGCGCAGCCAGCTCGGAGCTCTGCCTCAGCTTGAACCTCCTATGTCTTAAGGAAAGTCATCTCTAAAAGTGGTCCGCGAACAAGGGACCTAGAGCGTGGGAGGCGACCCCCTGCCTCCATCTTCCCTGACCCCAGAACTGCTCCAATTCCAAGGCTTCTGGCCCAGACAGCAGATGCAGGCGGGTCTACTCAGTCTTCACTCCTCAGATCCCTTAGATAATGTTACACGTAGACCCGCCACAGGTGGCCCTTGAAGACAGAAAGGGAGAAGCTTTCTCAGGCTGGTAACTTCCCTGTCTGGTTGGTACCCAGCAGCCCACCTTCCTGCTCTGGTAGGCAACCTCTGTTATATCTCCCCCACCCCCAATCCGTCCAACCCGCGCTCACCCGGAGTAGGGAGGATTTGTGGAGTTCTTTTGCCTTTCTCTGCCGAAACAGAGCAGGAAAGAGAAACATGGGTGGCTGGATGGGAGGTGAGCGCAGCCTGGCAAGGAAAGTGAAGAAAGCTTGCTGTGGGTGCCCTGGGTGCCAATTCAACACTCAAGAGTTCTTGACCTGGCCTCACTCTGCATCCACCAGCTTCTTGCCTACTTCCCCGCCCACTTCCCCTCAAGTGTCGCCCCGCCCCAAGCTCTCGCGTCCCGGGCCCGTCTCTAGGCAACCACTACTGGTCCAGCAGTGGAGCTGTCTAGCTGAGGGCCTCCAGCGCCATGGACCTGATCATCACGCAGGAATTGGCCCGTGCCCGGAACCAACAAGGTGGGTCTCACCCTAGCTTTGCTGATGGAAACCCCTTGACCCCGGTAGAGTGGCACAGAAATCCTCTTGCGATGCGAAGCTGTAGATACAATTGTTGATCCTGGCCTAGTCGCTGAGTGGGGAGGGCTGTGGGCAACCTGGGCAGGAATTCAGACCCATGTTTCTGTGTCAGAGGAAGGCTCTCCCGGGGACTGTGGACTGTGTCTCTCTGACACACCCATGCTGACCCCCTCTGCTGATTCTCTGCCCGATAGATGCAACTGCACTTCGAAGAGCTTATGAACTGATCAAGTCAGCAAACCTGGGAAAGTCGGAGCTTGACCCCACAGAGAGCTTCAGCCCAGACCTGTTTGTGCTGTGTGCAGAGCAGGCACTCAAGGTGAAGCCCTAAGCTTGACTGTCAGTGGCACACAATGAACCTGTCCCCACCTTCACATCTTTGGGTGAAAACGGCACAGAGGAGGGTGGGTGGGACACTTGATGAATGTTGTGCGTGTGGAAATGACCAAGCTAGCCTCATCAGTGACCTGAAACTCCCTCATCCTGCTCATCTTCCTTCCTTTTCCTGGCTTCCATCTCCTACAGATGAAAGAGCCTGAGATGAGCGAAGACTGCATCCAAATGTACTTCAAAGTGAAGGCACCAGTCACTCAGTTTCTGGGCCGAGCTCACCTGTGCAGGGCCCAGCTTTGTGCCCCACAGTCAGAGGAAAATGTGGTAAGACCACCACTTTTTACTTCTCACCCCACCTCCAGGGATGGAGGAAGGCAGGTCGTAAAGAAGCTTTAAAGCAAAATGGGGTTAAGGAGCCAGACTCTCATTGACAGTGATGCAAAAAACATCAGCAGTTCCTGTTTGTGCTTTTCTCTCCGCTCAGTACTCACCAGGTTCCTGATATGAGTCCATATGACCTTCCATCTCTGCAGGGGGTGCTATGACCTTTCTGTTTTCTCTCCCCCAAAGCTCTCCCTGAGCTGGGCGGAGGGGGAGGTGGGAGAGTCTGGAACCCATGGGCAGAGCCAGCTGTGGTTGCTCGAGCCTCCGCTGTACCCGATTGTCGATTGTGCATAAGCTGGGGTGACAGCCAGTTTGCAATGGATGACGGGATTGAAGATGAGCAACTATGGGCTCACCCAGGCATTCTCTGTGCTGTCTTAGGAGGAATTTGAAAATTGCGTGACGCAGTACATGAAGGCTATAAACTTTGCAAAAGGAGAGCCAAGGTAGGTGTGCTGAACTGTCTGCTCGTACTTGATTGCATAGGACTCCGGCGCCCCACAGAACCAAGTGGTGTTATGTATCTTTATGACATCCATCCCTTCTCCTCTCTGTTTTGTGCTTGTGGTGGAGTTATGGGCTTGTCTTATTACCTGGGAGAATCAGCCGTGATCGTGCAGACTTTCCAGAAGCAGCTCATCTGCCGTGCTTGCTCAGGAGTCGTTGAGATTTGTAGATGGCTGTCAAAGTGCTTTCTCAATGGCCTCCTTCCCAACCTGTCTCCCAGAACTCCTTGTTCCTAGCTTTCGGGTCTTGTTTCTTCTGTGTACACTGTGGTCCTCTAGCCCCAAGCCAAGGCTTCCTGCCTACAGCCATGACTCTAGCATAGCTTTTTACTTGATGGTTGTCTTTTTTTTTTCACCCCAACCCAAATTCGATTATTGAAATGGTTAAGTTGGCCTACACTGGCGTTGGCATACATGCAGTGGGACTGAACATTATCAGGGGTTTTTGCTCATCCCGCCCCTTGTCCACTGCTCATCGGTTGATGTCCTTTTCTAGTTACACAACACATAGGCACAAGGGTCCAGGGTCCAGCCTTCCCTCCAGCAGTCAGGAGCCAATGCTACACCAGAGATCTTAGCCCAGTGAGTGTTTCCAAATAGAGCCCTCCTGGCTATGTCCCACTGCAAGGGTCTTGGAGACAGTTATAAATGGGCCAGGTGACTGGGAATCACTGGTCTGGTTTTTAGCTACTTGGTTTCTCTCTCTCCTTCCTGGATAACGAGTGGCAATGGCCTGTCCAGTGACTAACCAGTAATAGAATGTCAAGCCTGCCCACTCCAGAAAGTGGCTTTACAGTAAAAAAGTGACCTGTATGATTCCCTCAGATGATGACCTGCCACTCAGAGGAAGATGCTGGGAGGAAGCTCTCATCCATCTTCAACACCCTTCTCAAGAGTTTATGATCAGACATGGAGTTTGTCCTACAGTCCCTCACTTCCACCCCAACACACTCATCTGTCTGACCATCTTTTGCCCACTCAGCTCCTGGCTAATTCATGGACTTCTTCCAGGTCACAGTAGGATGCCACCTCCTCCAGGAAGCCTTCCATGGTCTTTCCTTCACTGCTTCTGACTGAATTTTCATAGGGTGTGGTTAGTTTGGGGAATGATTGGACATAATCCTGACAGGTACCATGTCATCACCACTGTGAGTGAGACAGCCACTGCTCATATGGGAAAGAGCTGTCAGGGCGGCTCTGCATCCTGGTGCTGATGCAGATTGGAGTGGAGTGCTCTAAATGAGGTGCCTGTGTCTGGTGGTGATTGGACACACCTTCACTTCCCTCCTGAATGAGTTCAGGACTCAAGATCTCCCAGACCCGTGCCTCTAGCATTCTGACTTCTACTCCTTAACCAGGTATTACTTCTTGGTATTCAATGCTTCTGTTCTCTACTGGCGCATGGTGCGGCCATTCCTCAAGCCTGGATATCACCACCTCGTGATTCCCAGCCTCTCCCAAATTGTCAACGTGTTAAATCAGACAGAAGAGGAGGACAAGGAGTGGCGGGCAGAGCTGATGATGTGAGTTGGGTGGTAGGCCGAACAGCCTTGGCAAGTCCCTTGTTGTGATTCACATAGACCTCTCTTTCCCTTCCAAGGTAGGGGTTGGGTTTCTGACTTATCAGCATGTTCTTCCTAGAAATCTATGGATGTCACAATAGGCCTTAAAGACACACCGGGATTCAAAGCAAAGGAAATATGACACAGCCCTTACTCCTGGCCCATGATTCTAATTAGTGTAGTGGGGCTTTGTTGTGGGTTTGGTTTGGTAGACACTTTGGCAAATAGCTATGCCAATGTGAGCATCACATCTGGGTTCCCAGGTGCCTGTGCATGGGAGCTTGGGGTGTCTGCTTGAAAGCCACAGACTATCAGCAAATGCCCGGCCACTGTGCCTAGAGGGGGTCTTTCACAGGTGTTGTGAGGATCTTGCTACAAGCAAGAGATCAGGTGGATTTTCACAATGTGAATTCCAGCACCAACTATGCCAGCTCAAGTCCAGACCACAGTCTATAGGCTTGGGGTACCTGCTTGTGGCCATTTGGAAAATTTCTAAGAGGAAATTGATGTAAATGAGATGTTCCTTCAAAGTGTCAGCTGGAAATGTTCTTAAAGTGTCCGTAGTTGTCTGTGCTGTCAGCAGGCATCTCTCCCACTCCTGCTGGCTTTGCACTGAACAGTGGATCCTGGAGTGTGTCATGAGCTTCCCTGGGAAGCTTTTGAGAGTTTGTGAAACACAGAGTTTGCAAAAGCCTGAGAATCTGGCTACTGGAGATTTGCAACAAGAGAGAGCTCCGAGAAGGCTAATGTCTGTTGTTTTCTGATGTCCAGAGAACTTCTTGAATGTTACCTGCAAGCAGGAAGAAAAGAGGATGCTACCAAGTTCTGCTTGACAGCAGCGCCATTTGTCAAAAACCACGTGCCACAGAAGTACCGGCAGATGTTCTCAACCATGGTAAATGGACACTCTGAAAAGAGAGGCAATCACTAGCGTTGTTAAAATCATTGTCCAGAAACTATGCACAAAACAACAATAAGTCTACTTATTGAGGAAGATAGAGACATACAGATATGTAAACAAAGCAAAAACAATAAAAAGAACGGGCAATCCCTCCTCTATGAAAAAGCAACGTCCGTTCATACTATGCTTAAGTATTCCTTTTGTAACAGCATCAACTTTTTAAAAGACTAACAGAGAATTTGTGAAACTAAGTACTTACTGTAGCACCATATTCCAAGTGCCTGCAATCCAGTGATTTGGATGTATAAGAATCAACTGAAGTTACATATAAAAATGTATAGAACTTAACTAGTGAGAGTTTGTCTTAGTTACAAATGCTAATTTTACAGGAAGGATTAAATAATATCTAGGCACAAAATCTGAGTCCTCCTTTGAATGCAGAGTAACCTTCCGTTGCATTCCCGTCAGGTTCGTTATGAGGTACTAGATGATGAAGTGTTGAGGGAAGACAAGAAGCATTCCGTTACTCTGTACGTCACTTACCACATCAATTCACTGAAAGCGTAAGTGGGTTGGGAATTGGGGAGGCTGAGCTTCTCCTCCTGGGATCAAGACACTGTCTGCCCCGCTCTAGGATGCCCGTTGTCAGTAAGCCATAGGACTGCAGGGACTTCCCTAGAGGAGGCGTTGCTAGGGTTTTGTGGGGAGGATCTAAAGTAAGCCGCATTTGCCACACTCCACTAGTGGGAAGTGGGGTGCAATGAAGCCACCAACGAAGTAGAGTCCCAGCTAGGGAAGAGAGTCCTGGCAGATGAGGCGTAAGGTAGACCAGGAGGAAGGAGATTGTGGTGTGTTTGAATCTGAGAAGAATGGGAAGAACAGTACGCTTGGTCCCAAGGCGAGGGAGGTGGCCACAGGATGTCCATTCCTAAGGTGAGCGAGGAGACTGCAGCATTTTGAGGTTGAAGGGGACTGCTTACTTCAGGGTGTTTTTGATCTCTTGGCAATAATGCTGAGATTTCAAAACACTTTTGGTCTCAGGTCTTATAGCAAAGTGAAGATGAGGGCCAAAGCATTCCAGGGCAGGGCATCCTAGGGGCAGTACTGGCTCCGTAGAGTGCCCTTGCACACTCTCCTGGAGTTTCCCTGCAGTGATATAAGAAAAGGAACATCGCCTGCTGAGAGGGATTATAAGGAGGTAGGAAAATTTGCCTGGGAAATGAGACACGAAGAAAGGAGAAGGGATATTTTAAGACCTCTATTAAGAAGCATAGGTTGGTTCACTGATTTCAGTTTTCCTGAGAATCATTTTTAACAAATATGGCAGGATGCTTTGATAACTTGGTGTTTACATCAATTCCAGGAAGTTGGATAAAAGTAATTTGCCAGAAAACATGGAGCAAATCCTGAGGAAAATGTATAGAGATTTAAGTCAGTACCACCACCAGCGCTTCCCCGCCATCAGAGAAGAAAAGTAAGTGTGACTCTCCTCTCTCTGTACACACAGAGATACCCGCATGGTCACCATACAGCATTCAGAAAGTATCCAAACATGTGGAAAGATATGAAAACAAGCAACTAGAACCTAGCAAGGACCAGCCCCACACCGGGGAAGGATCTAGTACAGCCTCCCTGGTGATATCGTCCTGGGGTTTATACTGTCTGTCACTGCACTGGGATGTGGACTTCCATATCCGACCTTGGAAAATCAAATTGATCTTCTGAGCACAGTCCTTTCAGTTTGCCACAGTGCCTTCTGTACTTCTTGGTAGCCACGCAGGACTACATTGATAGTTCTGGGAGCTCATTTTAACTCTTAGATCTCTGGCCTTGCCGAACACTGGTGGAGTTGGGAGGGGTTCTGGGCTGGCTCTTGAATGAAAGGTGCTGAAGCAGAGGTGAGGTTCTAGAATGTTCTCTCACAGAGGTGGAGAGAATTTGTTTCTCACCTCAGTGGCTGTCTGTCTATCACACCACTGTGAGAACTTTGCATTCCTTTGAGATGACAAAATGCAGTCGCCCCCGCATGTTGGTTTTGATTTCTGCGTCTCTCATCACCAGTGGTATTCAACCTTCACCCGAGTTTGGGGTTTTCGGCTACCTCCTCTGAGAATTTATCTTCCGAATTCTGAATAATTTTCTCACTAACTTCTGTTCACTTCTAATGTATGAAACCTGCCGGTCCCTTGATGGTGATAATTGTTTTAGTCACAGGCCCTCTCAATATGATGGCCATTGTTACCAGAGACAGTCAGAAAGAGCACCCACTGCCCTCGATGGTCATCTGGCCACTGACTTAGGCTGCATTGTGTAGTTTTGAAGACAAGGCAAGATACTATTGTGGGAGTGGTGTCTGTGTCAGATTGCAAGTGTGGCTTGGAAGCACAGCCGTTGTAGTTGTAAGTTCAGGTGACTCTCACTGAAGGAAGGCAGACTCTGACTCCCAGGACAGGCACCTGTTAAGAAAAGGGAAATTCTGGCACAGAGACACACATGGTGAAACCCATGCAGCAGTGGAAGCAGAAGGTACCGACATCTGCTGGCCACAACCCGAAGAGGCAAGGAGCGAGCCTCCACTGCCTTCGGATGGACTGTAGCTTGGGGAAACACCGTGATCTGAGGTCTGGCATGAGGACGCTGAGACAACCTTACCTGCTTTACATGCTACTCTGGTCTGTAGTAACCAGAAAATGGATGGAGAGCATGTGCTGTCTGTGGTGGTGTGACAAACAACCACAAAATCAAAGCTTAAAACAAGGCATGTTTGTATCTATCTGGTTGTGTCTGCGCGTAGGACTCCAATTCATCTAACCAGTAAGATGTCAGTTGCCTCTCTCAGGTCTCTCTGGCAGCTTAGCTTGGAGAGAGCTTCCCCCTCACATGGCTGTTGGCATGATTAGTCCCTTATGCCTTACAGACCATAGGATATCTCCATGGGGCAGTTTGCTTTATCAGGCACAGCCAGGAAGAGAACCAGTTGTCTATAGGCAAGGCTATGTGTGTCTCAGGGCTGGGGTAGATTCAGCTTGCACATGGTGGCTGTGGAATGCTTGCCACATATTCCCTGGAGAGAGGAGCACGCAAAGAGCCACAGTTGGGGTCCTAAGGCCCCCGAGGCCTGAGTAAGAACCAGAGGAGAGGGATCAAGACCTTCTGTGTTCTGGGCTCCTCAAACTGGTTTCTAGATCTTCTGTCAGGCTAATAAGAGCTCAGAGACATGAATGTTCATGTACATTTAACCTGATAAGGAGCTCATCTCCTAGGCTCTGCTTCTGTGTGGACTTCTAGTTGTAGTACACAGGGACACCCCCTCCAGGGCCCATTGTGTACAGAAGGACTCCAGAACTGTTTCATCTCTTTATACAATCCATACTCTACAACTGCCCCTAGGGTGTAGTCATACAGCCCCAACTTGCCCAGGATAGCACATAAGCAACCTAAGCTGCCTTCTAATGAATATAGAATCCTTCCCCACAACCCAGGGGGCCTCGGAGCCCCCTGTCACTACAGGGCCATGCTGCAATACCTTCGTTTGGGTTTCCATGTCTGAAATTCTGGCTGTAATATTAAAACCAAAATGGTTCCAGGACCACCTATTTACTCTTTTCCCGAGTTCCTTCTTCTTAACTGGCAGACCCAGAGCTCAGGTGAAGCAAGGAGGCAAAAGTCCTAAGGCCATGCCTTGGCTATGCAGAGACTGAGGAGAGAAGGGTGGGCAGACAAAAGATCCTCTCTTAATGAAGCTGTCCCCCATCTGGTACAGCTCAAGATCAAAAGAAAGGGAAGATGGTGGCCCTACACATAGTCACTGTGACTATCAGGATGTATCTTTAACATTACAAAGTCAGAGATTCTGGGCCTATCCCCCCAGGATGGCTGCCAGTATCTGGAGACACTTAGTGATCACTTCTAGGGATGTTGCTGGAGCCTAGAGGGAGGAAATCAGGGATGCAGAAAGAGGAGAGGATGATGGGATGCAGAAGGAGGGGAGGATGATGGGATGCAGAAGGAGGAGAGGATGATGGGATGCAGAAAGAGGAGAGGATGATGGGATGCAGAAAGAGGAGAGGATGATGGGATGCAGAAAGAGGAGAGGATGATGGGATGCAGAAGACCTAAGGTTGAGGCCAGGAAGCTCCGGCCAGTTTCTTGGAGTATAGCCTAGCATAAGTTAAAAATGAACAGTTTCCTCTATCAATTTGTTCTTTGCCAAAATTGTTTATCTATCACAGGCCCCTGCATTTTAATGCATGTTTAGCATCACCCACTAAGACTCAAAGTAGTGATGGTGAATGTATTGATGACATCCCATATGCCTGTCACAGGGAGGAAGAACCTGTGCCTAGTCTTCTGTGCAGGGCAACTGTGTAGGGAGTTTGTGGTGACCTAGTGTCGCCATGGCCTGGAGACATGGATGGGGACAATGTATCCAGGAGGGACAGATGCGGCATTGTGGAGAGCTCTGGGTCCTACAACAGCTAGGGAGCAGGGCCAGCACAGCAGGTCTGTAGCTCCTGCCACTGTCACAGGGACGCAAGGCTAACAATGCCTCTGCCAATCAAGTGAACGCCTGCCCTGTGCTGAGTGGGGCCTGTTTCTTTCCTTCCAGAATCCTTTTGCTTTTTGAACTGGGCCGCCTGTGTCTGACCCTGAAAAATGAGGCAATAGCCAGTGACTGCCTCTCATACCTGAAGAAAATGGAAATCACAGTGAGTGAGTTAAAATTGGCTCAGGGTGGTGGCTACAGGGGGCGGCTCACTGGACTATGGTCCCAGGCTAAAAGTGTTGGTGGGAAAGGGCCTTGCATCTTTAGCCTGTGCCTTCTGCAGAAGTGTGCCGGCCATTGCTGCTGATCTGCGCCCATATCTTTCCTTCCATCTTTGTCACTGGCTCTGGCCTGTGTAGCTACCACCGTCACTCCAGTTCAGGGAGGGGCTGTGTAATACTCACAGTAGTAATGATATAACCCATGCCCTCCTGACCCTGGGCATTTAAATCATACTTAATTTTTCTTATTTCACAAAGGACTACCGTAGAGATTCTGGGTTTAAACCAATTCATTAGCAACCAGGGCTTCTTCAGTAACCTGGATTACCGAGGAACTATCGCTGCAGGATTTTTTTATGCTTATGACAATATTGACATCCAGGGGAAGCTCGGGAGCACACACACTGACAGGAACAAGTGATTACCCATCCACAAGCCTCTCTACCACCTGCTGAAGCATCACCCCACCAGCATCCCAAGGTGGCCTGTAGTCTTCCTGGCTCCACCTTGCCTCACTGAAGCTGTGGTCTTTTGGTAGTGAGCCTTGGCTGCTTGCTCTGGGTATCTTTAACTCAGAGGTAGAGGAGGGTTGAGGGTGCTGTGCCTCTGAGTCCACACACCTTCTCTTCTCCTCAGTGATCTGTGTGAGGCCTCTGCCTCCTTGTGTCTAAGGAGTGTCACGCATACATGCATACTTGAGGGAGATGTATTTGTATTTTTAGCTAAGCACATTGGTGTCAGTAAGTTCTCCAACTTTTTCACATCTTGTTTTCTGTTTGCTCTGTTTTTATTTCCTGTGGGAAAACACCTCTATTATTTACCTACGAGGATGTCTCAATTTGGCAAAGAACATCTGTCCTTTGTTATATTCCTTGGTATGAGTTCAGGGAAGACTGGCTATTCTTTGCTAGTCAAGTGTCTCGGGTCTTCCTTAGAAGTATGCTTCACCATGTGTTCCTTGTCCATCTTCCCTGATGGGATGCAGACTTCTGGAGAATGGTACACTTTGGCTTCCTCCCCACTACACCCCTACTTCCTGGTATACAACCTGCTGCCTAAGAGGTGGTTAGAAAATGTCTCTATCTTGCTGAAGATGGCCAGCTCTCAGGCCTGGAGCTCCTTGTGTGGCCTGCAGGAACCTGGGGCTGAGAGTCAAAGACTTAGGCCATTTTGAAGGTCACCACGAAGACACACCTCAGGAGGAAGACGCACCCAGACAAAACATCTGGCACTTATGCAAAACTAAAGCAAAAAACATAATTCTGTCCAAACTGTCCAGAAGCAAGTGAGCTTTTCAACACATAAAACATCAAAGAGGCAGCGATGGAATCTACCTTGTGGTCCAAACAGCAGAGATGCAGGAAAGTTGTCCTCACATCAGAAGCACCTAAAAACCAAACAACATACAAGGAACTACAACCTTCAAGGCACTGGACAGCAGATAGGGAGGGAAAGTCCTGTGCCACTTCACTACCAGTGAGAGAGACCTCAGGCGATGCCTGGTGCATCAACCTGGTGGTGGTGGTGCAGTGGGGTGAGTCATCTGCAGGTCACAGGACAGAGGAGTACGAGGAGTGACAGGCACACAGTAAAGCTGCTGTGACCCCTTAGCTGAGCGTTGATGAGCACATTCACTCCAGGGCAGCATTCATGTTGGGGAAACAGTTTACCTGGAGAAGTAAGGCTGTAGAGATCTCTTCAGACAGCCTGGGTAGGAAGAGCTCCTGCCCTCTTCAGCTGGAGAGCCAAACTCTGGGTCCTCAGGTTGAAAGCTCAGGAGCATAGCACGGGGTCATCCCCACTGTGCCATGCTCTGATTGTCTGCAATGATGCTTAAGAACAGGAACGAAGAACTGAGCTACGATGAGACAATGGCAGGTGTGAACTGATAATGGCAGGTGTGAACTCACAGTGCCAGCTGTGAACTCACAGTGGTGTCAGGTGTGAACAGCTCACAGTGGCAGCTGTGAACTCACAGTGGCAGGTGTGAACTCACAGTGGCTATAACTGCACAAAACCTGCACAAGATCAAGCCAGACAAAACTCCCTGTGTAGATGCTAGAGGGGTTCGTGAGGCCCACCCTAGCTGGGAAACCATTGGCACTTGGTGTCTGTTGGGAAGAGAGTCAGGTTTCTTCAGGGATGCAGCCCCTAGGGGGTTACTTATATTCCAGTAGATTGTCTTGCACCCACACACATACCAGAGAACCAAGTGAACTCGGGGGGGAGGGGTGGTGGAGCTGGGAGGAAACAGTAGTGTGAGGGATACGGAAGGAGCTGGGATGGAGAGAATGGGAGGTAGACTATAATACATCATATGCCTTGTGAAGTTCTCAAACATTAAAAAAAATCTGCCTTGTCCAACAAAGTAGAATTATCAGTGTGTGGTACCTGGCAAAAAATTGCAGGCATGCAAAGAAGAGAGAAAGATATGACTCACGGGGGAAAAATGAAAAAATAAAAACAGTCCAAATCAGCCAACACATGATATAAATACCATGACATGGTGCTATAATATCTAATTTATTCCAAACATTTAAAAAGGTAGAAAAAATATTGAACATCCATGTGAAAAAGAAATGAAGTCATGAAACACTGAAGTATAACTTGAGTGCATAGAGTTGAAAACTATACTGGCTCAGTTAATATAGACTTCAAAGCAGGTTACACACCAGTTGAAACTCAGAGAAGAAGCTCTGTGAGGAGGTTCATAGTGTCTGCAAGCCTGGGGTGACTTCCAGGAGAGCAACAGGTATGCTAAACAGCCCTGAGGACAGACAAGAAGAGACAGACACTGGAAGACATAATGGAATGCTACATCAACAACCCTGAAGAAGGAGAAACAAGAGATGTTGGGTACTTAAACAGTACAGTTAGGGGTGGCAGTAGCCTTCTTGCTGGCAAAGGACAAAGATGGTCATGAAAATGCTAACATCTAGTCAGCCTAAAAGTACATCCTGCAACATACCTGTGGTGGTTTGAATATGCTTGGCCCAGAGAGTGGCACTATTGGGAGGTGTGACCTTGTTGGAGAAAGTATGCCACTGTGGGGGTGGGCTTTGAAACATTTCTCCTACCTTCCTGGAAGCCAGTCTTCTCCTAGCTGCCTTCAGAACCTCCAGCACCATGCCTGCCTGGGTGCTGCCATGCTTCCTACTATAATGATAATAGTCTGAACCTCTGAACCTGTAAGCCAGCCCCAAATTAAATAGTGTTTGTGGCCATGGACATGGTGTCTTTTCACAGCAATGAACCTCTAACTAAGACGATACCATTTAAAACAAAATAGACTTTATTTGACCTCCTCCACTTCCCAAGAGCATAAAGGAAACTGAATGAGAAGAACATGGTGCTTGACAGGGTAGAGCTACACTGGACAGCGATAGCAGCTGAGATAACCAAGGCGTGCTGTGGGGATTTTGATAAGTAGAACGAGGCATGAGACACTACAGCAGAGCAGCAGGAGAGAAGTGCTGTGTGATCACCAATGTGGAGTTACCATGGGGAGAAGGCTGCGGGAGGCGCAAGACTGCGGGAGGAACAGTGTGAGAAACACGTGACACCAACCATATGACCCATGAAGGTGGCACCAAACAGACATGTAACTAGTGAACACTCAAAGGACACAGAGGGGCTGAGGATGCAGCTCAGTGGGTAGAGGGCTTGCCTAATGGGTATGAACCCTAGATTCCATCCCTAGAACTGTGGGAGAGGAGAAGGGAGACAGGGGAGGAGGGAGAGGGGGTGAGTGAAAAAGGGAAAAGAGTAGATTGTCCAAAGTAAAACTGAAGAAACAAAATAGAATAAGGAAAAGGTGGGGCAGATAGGAATAAAGGGCGAGATGATTAAATAGATCCAATCTATTGTTCTGTGACCACAGTGGATCTGATCTATTGTGCTGTGATCACAGTGGATCTGATCT